ACAATCACCTTTCCAAGTCTCTTTTATTTGACCTGGAAATAGAAGAGATACTTTTGAAATGAATAATTAATTGTCTTTGATATCTTAAATCTCTGGAACTTGATCAGCCACGGTTGCCTTAGTGACCTAGGGCTGCCATATAGAAATGCTCAAAAGAGCAGGGCTTCAGGTCTGGAGGATCAGAATGCAGTTTAAGGTTTTGGCCATGTGGATTCTTTCCTTGTGGGCAGCCAGGGTGCCCCTTCCTTCCATGGCATTCCTTTCTTCCCAGGGCATCTGTCTTCCTGCTGTGGGGGTTCCAATCTTTTTACAACTCAGAAGTGATCAAGCCTCGGGTCTCTCCCACACCTGTATGGCCTCATTAACATAACAAAAGAACACTCTTTCCAAACAGGATCCCAGTCACAGGTACGCAGTTTGGGATTACAATTCAATTCATAAGACCAGTCGACTACAAAGAAATAGCTACTCAATATCTCCATCTCTTCAACTATTTCTTCAAAAAGTTTTAGAAATTTTATTGTTAGGTTCAGAATATAATCCAGCATGCAGGCCCCCTTGGGAGGGGATGAGAGGGAAGGGGAAGTAATCGGCTAGAGAGGTTGAGATAATGTACTAGTTGCGGGAAGGTAAAAGTAAAGGCTGGGGCAGGGCAAGTCTTGGTAAGTTGTTTAAGTTACTGAATTCAAGCATGGTGATCCACATGCAACCCCCCGCCTAATTCATAATAGAAAGTTAGAAAATACAAGGACAGGCCCCTACGATTTTATAGGGAAATCATGGGCTAGATAGGGATGAATGAATTTTCAGGCATTACGACATCTTAGAGATGTTGCCTTATTTCCCTATATGCCTGTCATGTTTAAGAATTCATTTCCACAAAAGCTTAAGTAGGAAGGCTAGAATGAGAGGTGACAAAAACGTAACCTCCACCAATTTATATTTTCCTCTCCTTGAAGTCTAAGAGTAGATGCCATCCCTGAGTGAGTGGAGGTGGAGGGAAGGGGTAGTTAGTCTTAGCTCTCATCATCAAACCAGCTATTTCTCTGGAGTATATCCGTAATACACCTGTAGGCAAATGACACGGGGCAACCACAGGTTACAGCCAGTAACAGTTATGCGAAACGCTATCGTAGGCATCTGAGGTTCCGGAAACAAAAAAGTAGTAGCATCTTGCTCGCTACCAGAGCTGAGTGATCCCCTTTATGAGCTCAGATCGAAAGCATTCATTATGGCCCCCGAAAGGCCCCAAACAATTTTAAATATATTGGAATGCTATATATAAAATCAATGCATGCAATAAGTTCCAAATAAATTTAAATGCTACCTAAGGCCCAATGTGGGAGCCCTGGTGGCATTGTAGGTTATCTGCTGGGTTGTTAATCATGAGATGAACAGTTAGAAACAACAACCTATTCCTGGGGGGTGGGAGGTAAGAATGAGGATTTCTACGCCAGTAAAAAATTACCATCTAAAAAATCCCACAATTCCCGCACTGTGTCTCCAGTGTTGTCCCCCGCAGTGCTATGGGTCAGTGAGGGACGTCCTATCTTGTGGTGGGGCCGGCCCTATGGTCCTCTCTGTGCGTTGTCTGCTCTGAGCAGGAACATCTTCCTCGGGGCTTGGTGGGCCAGGATGTCCTCTCCTCCTTCCTCTCCATCCCTTTGCATTTCTCCCGTGTGCTCTCATCCGACTCGCCCCTCTCCCCAAGCTGCAGCCCCAGTGCTGTCCTCGGAAGAGCATTCTTCTGAGGTGGGGGTGTCCACATAGTTGGGATTGGGGCCGCCCCACAGACCTCTCTATTGGTTCTCTGGTACACAGGCCACTAACCCACCCAAGGGGAGGCTATTGTTTATATCTCCACAGAGAGGGAGAAAGAAACCAGTCTTCCACCCAATGCGCCAAGACGTGATTACTCTGTTGACTTTTATCCACATCACAATAAAAAGTTAAAATGAAACACACGCAGTCACCTCTTTCCAGTCTTTGTCTATGCTGGGCTTTTTACCTCAAATGTTCGTGCTCTCGTTCTTCCTAAGGCAAGTTCTTTCTTCATGTTTCTTATCCTTAAAAGCCACTTTCTCAGAGATGATCTCTCAGATCTAAAGTATCTTCCCTTTCTTCTGACATTATTTTCTTTAATTGGTCACTTCCTTAATAGCTATTATCACATTTTTTGACCTGTGCCCTCAAGTCAACTCTGACTCACAGTGACTTTATAACACACAGCGTAACCACCCCAAAGGGTTTCCAGGACCGAAATCTTATGGGCGCAGATCACCAGGCCTTTCCTCTGTGGAGCTGCTGGTGAGTTTGAACTGCCAACCTTTCCGCTAGCCGTCACATGCTTTAACCATCGCCCCAGCAGGATCCCTTTATAGATTTCATCGTAATTTATTTGATTCACATGCTTACTTGCTGCTATTTTTCCTCACTTCTCCTTCGTGAGGTTGCCAGGAATGAGGGTCTGGGATTGCCTGCCACTATTTCAGCCAAAGACAGAGACCGGTTTGATGCAAGAAACTTAAGTTCACTCTGCAAGTGTGAGACAGAAGGAAAAAGTGGGGTTTTTTTTTTTATACCTTCAAACTGCTTCCAAAACCCAGTTAAAACCAAGCAAGTTATATACCTCAAACTACGTGACAAAAAACAGGTTTGCAATGATCACACAAAACAAAACTCTAAACTATGTGACCCAAAGAAGTAGGAATCTCCAGGGGTTATGAGATCATCTTCCCCTGAAGCACCATGCTATGTTGCTCATCTAAATGGGAGATGATTCGGCCTGGCCACCTATTTTAATGACCTTGGTCACCACTTTCCTGAGTTAGTAAACTGTCCCTACTCATTAAGCGTAAAATGATTTTTTATTGCAAGGGACGGGGATGTTACATTTTGGATTTCCAACTAATTATTCCTTAAATTACATTATATTTCTAGTCTTTTTATAAACAGCAGTTTCTTTCAATCCCTTAATTAACGAGGCAGTGAATGTTAAATTATTGTGGCTTGAGGAGTTGCTCTATATCATTTAACTTGTTGTGTTGAAGTGAATAAAGTTATTTGTAGCACCCTCTTCTTTCACTTTCAATGGCCACGCACTCTTGAGTGATGGCTGTCTCTTCTTGACTTCCTGCGCGTGACTCGGCCTGAGCCTCTTGGCTTCTTTTCTTTAATGATCCTGTTAGAAAATTAACAATATTATTGGTCTTTCTGAGAAATATTTTATAACTTTCCTAAGTCAGTGATTTCTGCTCATATCTTTCTTCATTCTTCTGACTGCTTAAAATCTCACTGCCATTGAGTTGATTCCAACTCAGAGAGACTCTATATTTACTTTGGCTGTATTTTTCTCTTTTTCTAATTTCTTAACATGGAAACTACTTAGATTATCGATCTGCTACTTCTTTTTTCCATGATAAACTCTTAGTACTATAAATTTCCCATTAACATCACCCGCATATTGGCATCAGTTGGTTATTTTTACCACTCTAATTGAGATTTTATTGCGTCTGTGTGTGCTTGACATTTTGTATATATGCTATTCTTGTCTAAATCCTATGGATACATTAATATTTTTAATTTAACAGAAAACAATCCCTGTTTGGGTTCAGGCCACAAATTCTGACCAACCCTTTGTGAATTGTGGTTGCAAAGTCAGTTCCATTTTCAAAGCCTGTGCAGTTCCATTCGCATTTCTCCTGAATGGTAGCCCTCTGGGGCCAGGCCGTGGTCGAGCCAGTCTGTTCACTTCCCAAAATCTGTAATGTGCTTTTAGGGTCAAATATATGCATGTGTAGCTTGAGGGTGAGCCTAGGAGTTCATATACAACTTCATGGAAACTTTTATTTCCCTTAAGCTTCTGCCTTCTTTGAAATCTCCCCAGAGCTCTCTTGTGAGCTCTCTTGTACTCTGAGCCTTTTTGTCCAGTTCTCTAGCCAGAAACCTTACTCTGTCAAGAACTTTGGGTGACTTTACCCACTTCTGAGAGAGAGCGGGGGCGGGGGGCTTGTCCCCCTCTATTGGGACCATAGCTCCTTCACACAGAGAAGGCACCTGTGATTACCACCACCGTTGCAGTTGCCACCGCTGCCATGCCTGGAATGCCTTGGCACTAGAGCATTACGAACTGGAGAACTGAAAAGGAAAAAGGACACTCAGCGTTGGACCCGCGGCATTGAAGAGGTCCCAACTCACAGCGACCCTACAGGGTGAAGCAGAACGATCTCATAGTGCTTGTGTTGTTTTTTCCCCTCGGCGTCTTCAAGGCGATGAATATTTGTGGAAGCATTTTTCCTATGGAGCAATTCTGGGGATTCAATGGCTGACCCTTTGGTCAGCTACCAAGTGCTTTAACCACAGCACCAGGCGACTCCTTCTTTCAATATTGGAAGTCCCTTTTCTTGTTCCTTGAAACAGAACTAGAGGGTTGTTTCTGGAGCTCTCTCTGTCCATGTCCTGTTTCAGCTTCCAGGTTTTGGGTCGTCTTGAGTCCCGATCAAGGAATATTGAGAGGACAATAAAATGGGAAACTCCACTTCAAAAAATGCTTCTAGTCTCTCTCCAATGAGAAGAATGTGGGCTGTTTTTATTTTGTTTTTGTTTTCTAATAAAAACCTTTGATTATGGTGAAGAAATTCTTTCTAGTCCTGTTTTTGCTAAAAGTTTTTTATCAGAATGGGTGTTAGATATTATCAAATTCCCTTTCTGGGTCAATTGATATTATCATATAATTAATTTATTTATGTAGTGCATTACATTTATTAATTTTCTAATGTTGAACCATCCTTGCATGCTTGTTTACTTGGTCATGATGTATTGTTTTATTTTATAATTTAATTTGAAATCATTTTCATTTAGAAACAGAAAGCATCTTGGAAGGAAAAGAAAATGAAATAAACACACAAGACACATAGGACACGTTTACTGCATGTGCCACTCACACCCTCATCTGTTCACCGATCCTCAAGAGGACAAGTAGACTTTTCCAAAAAAACTACTCAGCCACCAACAATGATGTTATTAATAGGGATATGGATCAATTTCACAAAGAAGCCAATGAATCCAATTACAGCAAATCCTATTGGCATTGCCATGCCAATTTTCAGAAATGCTTTCTATCAGGTTTGGTCCTTTTTTAACCAGCCAAATTGAGTCCTTCACAAATGGCCGACTGGGTTCAACAAACTGCATTAGCTGATCCATGATTGGTTCTGTGCAACCGATGCTTAAGTTGTACTGTTTTCTTGATATGCTGTTGAATTCTGTTGGCTCGAATTTTTGTGCCTATATTCATGAAAAATGTTGTTGTCAACATTGGTTCTGACTCATCATGCCCCTTTTTCTTTAACATAATGAAACACTGCCATCCTCACAATTGTTCTTATATTTGAGATCATTGTTGCAGCCACTGCATCAATCCATCTTGTGAGGGACTTCCTCTTTTTTCACTGCCCCTCTACTTTATCAAGCAGGGTGTCCTTCTTCAGGGACTGGGCTCTCCTGGCAAGATGTTCAAAGTATGTGAGATTAAGTTTTGCAGTTGCCATTTCTGAAGAGCATTCTGACTGTACTTCTTCCAAGACGCATTTGTTTGTTCTTTTGGCAGTCCATGGTACTTGCAATATTTTTCGCCAGAACCATAATTCAAATGCATCAATTCTTCGTTGTCCCTTATTATTTAATGTTCAGCCTGTACATGCATTTGAGGCAATTGAAAATAGCATGGTTTGGGTTAGAAATACCTTAGTCCTCACAGTAACCTCCCAGCTTTTGAACATTTTAAAGAGGTCTTGTGCAGCAGATTTACCCAGTGCATCATTTGATCTCTTGATTAGTGATTCCAAGAGTATCCAAGTATCTTGATTGTGTATCCAAGCATGAAGAAATCCTTGACAACTTCCATTTTCTCCCTTGTCCAGTTGTGAGGATTTGGGTTTTCTTTATACTGTGTTGTAATTCACACTGAAGTCTACAATCCTTGAGCTTCATTGGCAAATGTTTCAAGTCCTCTTCACTTCCAGTAAGCAAGATTGTGGCATTTGCATATTGTAGGTTGGTAAGAAGTCTTCCTCCAAACCTAATCCTGCCTTCATATAATCTAGCTTCTCTAGTGATTTGCTTCACATAAAGATTGGATAAGTCTGGTAAAAAGATACAACCCTGATACACACCTTTCCTTATTATTATTATTATTTTTTTTTTTTACCAATTAAGCAATTCAAAGGAGAGTTTTTTCCTTTCCTTATTTTAAACCATGCAATACTCCCTTGTTCTGTTCATACAATTGCCTCTTGATCCAATTACAGGTTCTGAATGAGCACAATGAAATGTTCTGTAATTCCTATTCTTTTCAAAGCTTGTTCCATGGTTTATTATGATTCACATAGTCGAATGACTTCTTATATCAATAAAACACAAGTAAATATCTTTCTGGCATGCTCTGCTCTCAGCCAAGATCCATCTGACATTAGTAATGACATTCCTTGTTCCACATCTTCTCAATCTAGATGGAACCTCTGGAAACTCCCTGTTTATGTACTGCTGACAATGTGGTTCGACAATCTTTAGTAGAAATTTATTTGATATTATTCTATAATTTGAACATTCTTTTGGGTCACCTTTCTTAGGAATGGGTACAAATATGGATCTCTTCTAGTCAGTGGACTAAGTAGCTATCTTCCAAATTTTTTAGCATAGAAGAGTGAATGCTCCCAGTGTTTCATCAGCATGTTGAAACATTTCAAATGGTGGTCCATCAATTCCTGGAGCCTTGTTTTGGCTAATGCTTCAGTGCAGCTTGAACTTATTCTTTAGTGCCGTTGGTCTTTGCTTACATGCTACCTCTTGAAATGGTGACATTTCAACTAGTTCTCTTGTTACAGTGAGTCTGTATTCATTCCATCGTCTTTTATTTTGTCTATATTTTCAATATTTTGTCTATAGAATCTTTCAATCTTGCAACTCAAGGTCTGAATATTTTCTTGAATTCTTTTAGTTTAAGACAATGCTGAGTGTGCTCTTCCTTTTCGGTTTTTTAATTCTAGGTCTTTGCACATGTCATATAATGTTTAACTTTGTCTTCTTGAGCTGCCCTTGAAATTTTCTCTTCAGATCTTTGACTTCATCATTTCTTCCATTCACCTTAGCTTCTCTGTGATTAAGAGCAAGTCTTGATCTGCAAAAGTCCCCAATAAAATGATCTTAAGAAAAAAAAGAAAAAGAGCAAGTCTTAGAGTCTCTTCTGACATCCACTTTGACCTTTTCTTTCTTTCATGTGTTTTTTAATGACCTTTGGCTTTCTTCGTGAATGATGTTCTTGATTTCCTCTCAAAGTCCATCAAGTCTTCTGTCACCAGTGTTCAAAGTGTCAACTCTGTCTTGAGATGTTCTTGAAATTCAGGCGAGACATACTCAAAGTCATATTTTGGTTCTCATGGGCTACTTTTAATTTTATTCAGCTTCAACCTGAACTTAGAGATGTGCAATTGGTGGTCTGTTCCACAGTCATCCCTGGCCTGGTTTTAGCTGCTGGCATTGAGTTTCTCCATCGTCTCTTCCCATAGATTTAGTCAATTTCATTTCTGTGTATCCGTCTGTATGTGTATAATTGTATATAGTTCCAAGTCCATGTGCATAAGTTGCTATTTGTGTCACTGGAAAAAGGTATTTGGTATGAGTTTTTCTCTGGATGTTTGATAAAATTCCCCATTTGAGTTATGCAGATGAGAGCTTTTTTGTTGTTATTTTATTTATTTATCGAAGTTTGTTTGTTTAATGATCTCTTCAGTTTTTTCCTTTAGTTATAAATCTGTTCAGGTTTCCTACCTCCACTTGTGTTAGTTAAGGTAGATACTGTGTTTATATAAATGTTTCCATTTCTTATAGGTTCTCAATTTTATTGGAGTATACTTTTTCATAATATTCTGTTATGATTTTTTGTTTCAGATGGTTGTGTTATAATGCCACCCCTTTTATTTACTTATGGGTTATTTGCTTCTTGTCTTGAGTTTCTTTTATAAATTTAACCAGAAGTATTTTATTAATTTTATTTTACTTATCCTTTCAAAGTTCCAACTTCTGAATATGTTCGTTCTATTTTCTTTATGTCTGCTGTAATTTCTTCAGGTGACCATGGGCTGCTTTTGTTGTTGCTGTTTGATTTATTTGAGTTGTGGGGTTGATTTTAAATTCCAATCCTTTTTTCTCTTTATTGCTTTGTTTTTGTGTGCTTATTGCTATAAATTGACCTCGAAGCACTGCTTTGACTGTGCCACAAGATTTTGGTAGGCTGTTTTTCATTCTATTTGATTCTAGGAATTAAAAAAAAATACCCACTTTGGTTCTTTTACCCAGTGGTTTTTAAGAAAATTGTGATTCAGTTTTCATTTATTTGATTCCACTTCCTCTTGTTCTTCCTGTTATTGAATTCTATTCTTGCAGCATTGTGATCAGAGAACATGCTTTATATTTCAATGTTTTGGATTTGGCTCACTTGGTGGCCTACATATGATTTATTCTGGAGTCTGATTCTTGTTTTGAAGAAGAATGTACATTTTGCTGCTGCTGCATGGAGTGCTCTGTATATGCCTCTGAGGTCAAGCTGGTTGATTGTGGTATTTGGACCTTTTGAACCTTGAATGAGTTTCTTGTTGTTCATCAAAAATGGTGTTTGGAGTCCTCCTTCTATTATATAATTATCCATGTCTCTTTCAATGCTCTTACAGTTTGTTTCATGTGTTTTGGAAATCTGACATTGGGAGCATATATATGTATCATGTTATACTCTTATGGAGGGTTGATTTCTTAATTGTTATATAATAATATGATGCCTTTCCTTTTTATGGTAGATTTCATATTGAAGTTTATTTTAGTCAATGACAACATTGCCATTTGTGTTCTTTTTTTTTGCTTATAGTTTTGTTGATATGCATCATCACCACCACTCCCACCCCCCCGAATTTTTTGTCATTTACTTTAACCTTTGTGTCTAAGGTAAATCTTTTGTAGCCACTATATTGAAGGGCTGGGTTTTTGAAGCCATTGCTCCACACCCTGTCTTTTACTGGTGCATGTAAGCCCTTCCGATTCAGTGTGCTTGTTGCTAGGTACCAGTTTGCTGCTGTCGTTTTATTGTGCTTTTCTTTGAGATGCTGATGATTCATTTGTTCTGTTTAATTTTCTGTGCTGAGTTTTTGCATGTGTAAGTGTATTTTCTTTTAATTTCTTTCATTGTTGTTAATCAACGGTTGTGTTAACTGTGTCCCAGATAATTCTTAGGCTTTCTTTTTCATCTTTTTTTCTTCTTTTCCTGAAGTTGGTATCAAGGGATTTGTTCTCCATTTCATTGATCCTGTCTTCTACTGATTCAATTCTGCTCTTGTGTCCTTTTATACACTTGCCTATATAAGAAATTTTATTCTTAATCTTTTGGATTTCTTGTTGCTGTCTTTGTATGGTTTTGAATTTTTTATTTATTTAGTGGTTTTGTTCTTTTCTTTTCTTTCTTTATTTTTCCAATCATTTTATTGGGGGCTCTCACAGCTCTTATAACAATCCACACATCCATTGTGTCAAGCACATTTGTACAAATGTTGTCATCATTTTCTAAACATTTTCTTTCTGTTTGAGCCCTCGGTATTAGCACTTCCTTTTTCCTCCTTTTCCCACCCTCGTGAACCCTTGATCAATTATAAATTATTATTATTTTCATATCTTACACCAACCACTGTCTTCCTTCACCCACGTTTCTGGTGTTCTTCCCCTTTGGGGAGGCAGGTTATACTTTGATCATTGTGATGGGTTCCCCCTTTCTCTCTCTTCTCCCCCTATATTCCCCCTACCCTCTTGGGATCGCTACTCTCATTTCTATACCTGAGGGGTTTATCTGTCCTGGATTCTGTGTGTCAAGAGCTCTTGTCTTTACCACTATACATGCTCCAGTCTAACTGGATTTGTAAGGTAGAGCTTGGGACAACATATTGGGGGTAAGGAAACCTAAAAGAACCAGGGAAATATTGTGTGTTTCATTGGTGCTATACTGCCCCCTGGCTGACTTGTTTCTTCCTTGTGACCCTTGTGTGAGAATATGTCTAATTGTCTACAGATAGGTTTTGGGTCTTCACTCCGACCCCCTCATTCTCAACAATATGATTATTTGTTTGGGGTCTCCTGATGCCTGTTACTTGATCTCATCGACACCTCAT